CTCCTCCTCCTCCTCCTCCTCCTCCTCATCATCATCATCATCTCATTATTTTTTTATTTTTATTTGTCAGAGTATGGATTTAGAAGAGTAAAAAATCATACCATGTTTTAGTTGATTATATTCAGGTTTTGTATGTGTTTGGAATTACAGTTTATTTTCTAGGTTGTACTTCTTGCTTCAGTTGAATTAGTAACCATCCTCATATAAGAGCACAAAAACCAAGTGTTAAGTATCTCCTGGAGTTTCTCCCGAAATGAATTTAAATAAGCACAGGTTCCTCTAGGAAATTCTAAAACTAATTGGCTTTGCACAAATTATTCTGCATATCTGTGTTTGGTAAGATTTTCTATATTTTTTTGCAAAGTAAAACAGTACTAGAAAGTAAATATAGCTAAATGACTACATAAAAATTTTAGTACACACTAATTTTAGAGCAACTTTATGTGCACAGCCAAATCGAGCAAAAGATACAGAGATCTTCCACCAACCTCCTGCCTCTACACAGGCAGAGCCTTTCTTCATCCCATAATTAACATTTTCCACCATAGTGGAACACTGATCATGTACACTAACACATCATGGTAACTAAATGTTCTTAGGATTCACTCACTAGGTGTTGAATATACTGTGGGTTTAGACCAATATGTAATGATGTATCCAACATTACCATATCATACATGATCATTCTGTTGCCATATAATCCTTGAGTTCATGCATCCATACTGCACGAAATTTACACTATTGCTTTGTTTCATAGAAATGTACTGATTAGCCAATTATAAGTCTTCCTTCATGATGCATTAAAAATACCTCGGTGCACTGATTTTATGTTCTCCCACATTTTGAATTATTTGGTTCCATGTTGGCATGTATGTTCCTTTATAAATACGTAGTCACCCGTATCTATGATGTGTGAGTTAACTTTACAGGAAACTTTGTTAGAAAAGCTTTGTGATGTTTGTTTCTTATGCATTGTAGAGTATCCAATTTGTTGGCAGAACATGGATCCCTAGGGTCTGGAGCCTATAGGTCAGTAGGTGAATGGCTAGAAGCAATCAAGATGGGCCGCTATACAGAGATTTTCATGGAAAATGGATACAGTTCAATGGACGCTGTGGCTCAGGTGACCTTGGAGTGAGTAATTTTTCTGATAATCTTTGCACAATTGCTGGGGCTAAAAAAAATAAAAAATTGCTCAGAATCCAATCTGGATGAGATCAAGGGAAACCAATTGACCTTTGTCCTCGAGCAGCAGCTCTCGAAGAAGCCACGTCTTCTTTATCCTGTACTGTTAACAGCTGCATGGTTAATGCTTCTCGTGGCCAGTGTCTTTGCTTTCTTGCTTCAAACGAATAGCATTTGAACAATTGGAATAAGAGCTCCTTGGCAAAGTACTGGTATTTTGTGCTGTGGAAAAGATGTTCTCTTACAGATTTTTATACTTGTCTTATGTTGATTGTAAATACAAAATAGAACAAACTGTAAGCACAATTGGTGTGGCTAGGCCTACGTAATAACATGACTTATTCCTAAATTTTAGCTCGCTACGTTGAATACCTAAATAAGGAGTGTAAACAAAGCCTATCTGGCAGGAATGTCATTTAATGTCTAAGTGGTGACCCTATATTCTTATAGTCCAAGAATATATCACATCCTGCCTCTACTGTATTATGTGGTACAAACTCAGTGGAAACAATTGTGCCCTTTCCTGTGTGCACGTTTAAGATAAAGTTTATTAAATCTAATTGAATAAAATCACTATAATTAAATACTAAATTATTTAAGGTTGTTTGTATTTTATGATATACTCTGTATGTATGATTATTTCAGCCTAATTGTTATTTGTGAAAACTAATTGTCCTTTTGGTGGTTCCATCTAGGTGACATTAATATTAATAATGTTTTAACCTGTGAATATAATGACAACATTCCTCAAATTGCCCACAAATTCAAAGGTTAAAATGTTGTTTTTAAAGAGTAGAAAATGTTAGAATATCTAAGTCACTAAGCCACGGTCATTATTTCATTACTTCATAATATAAATATCGGAGAGTTCTTGTGCCATCTCTACTATTCTGGCATTCTTTGATTCACTGAATTCACTGCTAATCTCCACAAAAGGTAACAGGGTACCATCATTTATCCCAGTTAATGTCACAGTCTCTGCTTTTCTTCCTTCATACTAAGAACTAAACAGACCTACTATCACAAGCACTCTACCTGCTTTTTAAATGTATCCAATGTCATTCCTAATGTCACTACCAAATCACATCTGTTGGATGCCATATCCCTTTTGTCCATTATTTCCTTGGACAGTCAAAGGAACTCATGTGTGGTATTTAAAATAGTATACTGAAAAACTTACTGATAATTTCAAGCTATTTTTACATGATTGCTATTTAATTTTTCAGTAAAGATGGTCATTTTAATTTATTAAAGTCATTTGTCATTTTATATTAAAATGATACTGTAGGTATTTCTTCTACCCAATGTCAGATTACTTGTAAATATATAATAAAATTATTTGCATTAAACAATGTCTCTTTTTTTTATTAAGACAGCATACATTTGTATATAATTAGGTCTACATTTTTGTTTTTAAGTTTCCAGAAAAGTTATAATCAAAAGGAATGGTTTTGCATTAACTACTCATGTTTTATTTTATTTCTTTGGGGCCCCAAAATACTATAAATGCATCAGTTTTTTAATGTGTCATTGTTCCACTTGTTCTTATTTCATTTAATTCCTTTCTATCTACCTTCCTGTATGTTCCTGTAGCCCCAGACTCTCCATTGTGGTGTTTTCTTCCCGAATCCTAACCTCCTGTCTGTCTTCTTCTAATGATTCTTCTCCAGCTTGCTGCCTCTGCCATACTGCTTTCTGCTGAGATTGTCTTTTAATTCATTACCTTTGACCAACAAGTAGTATGGAACTAAGCAACTTAGAGCTCCTTGCTTGTCAGAGGATGTTGGCCTTCTGATACTGGCAAATGCTTCACACCCCTGGACCTGGAATGATTACTCTGTTCCTTCCTAGAAATTGGGCCAGCAAATTGTAACTCTAATGAAGCAAATTTCTTGAAGAATTCAGCACCATTCAATACGTGTTCTCTGGTTACTGTGTTTTCGGTCAGTTTTTCTAATTGGTAAGAATATATTTATCAGGATATTATGTTAACTCACAAAATGAGAGGTAATGAGTAATTTGTTTTTTTCAAGAATTAAGACAAAATCATTTTTTGGGGCCTTCTAAAAAAAGAAAAGCAGCCAGTCATTGTAATTGCAACTACTGTAATTGGAAAGGACAGTATTATTATTATAATTTGTGACATCAGTTTGCTTTCATAGCAGGTTTAGGAAGAAACTAGAAGCTACAATCTGTCCTAGCCACCTCATTTGGTTAAAAGCTTTATTCATGGAGGTTTTTGTATGGATTATTCACCAATACATGCTGCTATGTGTAAATGTGGAAAATTTAAAAATTTAGAAGTCCTGGAGTCCAAGCATGTTGAGTGAAAGTTGCTTTCACAGGTAGATATTTTTGTCTGTTGATCTCCATTCCAAAGGCTTGCTGATCTGTGTGCAGCATTCATATTTGAATAAAATGTTGGGCCATTAAGGACAAAAAGTGTACTCTCGAGTATAAGGGCAATGAGATTTTGTAAGCTTGACTTAAAGCACATTGCAAATCGAATGGAAAGGTTTTAATTAAGAAAATAATCACAGCTGCTTTTCAGACATCTTATGAGAACAGTACTATCAAATTTTGGTTACTCAGAAAATGAGCGAAATCCAGTGATTTTAAGTATTATACCAATTGTATATAAGCTGAAGAGATTCTTATTTTCACTTAATAGAATGAAAATTTAAAGTACAATGGATATTTTCCAAATCTAAAGCCAAATGTGTATAGACTAACTCAACTAGGTTTATTAACTTATTTAAAAAGTAATTATTCATAATTTAGATGATATTAAAGCATGCACAAGAGAATTCTATTTTTTTCATAATTAAGTGAAAACACGTCCACACACAAAAAGTCTTATCCATTAAAAACTATCAACAAGGCATAGTTAAATCTCCTGTTGACTGCTCTACATGTATTTATTGTGTAGAGTAGCTGTGTAAATGCTCATTAGATTCTTTGAAACAAGTACATAAATGCAGATAAATCTATAACAAAAGCAAAACAAACAAACAAATCTCCAGCATAGGGAGTATTTATCTGTCCTCTCTTCCATCCAGCAAGTATTGATAGACAAAATTCCAGTAGAATGGCTAAACAGTGTGTAATGCTGAAGGAAGATGACTGATCCAGGGAATAAGTCATCCGCAACTGGATAAACTTTATCCTGAATAATCAACAACTGGCCCCAACATCAGCTAGATACTTCTTAATAATCTTTATCTTTTCATCTCACCCATTTAGCATCATATTACTCTAAGACAGTGTTTTTTTCATTGTCTAATATCATGGAATAGTGCTGAAAAGATGCAAGAATGTAATTGCACCAATGACCTTTCATTATAATAAGCAGCTTTTCTAAAACTATTGCCAACAAAATATAAATTCTTTCTACATAACAATATTTTTTTCAGTATGGTTAGGTTTATAAGCCCATGCTTAAGATGACACATGGTCCTGATGAAATTAGTATACCTATAAAGGAGATAATTTTTGTCTGTTAATCTCCATACCTGTAAAATTTTACATACCGAAAAATAAAGAAAAATAGTATATAATGCACCATTTTCATGTACTTCTTTAAAATTTATTGCTTAAAATAAAAAATTTCCTTATAAAATATTTTCTTTTTCTCAGTTTTCCCACATCCTTACTGCTAATCTGATCATTTATCATACATATGATGTAGTAAAGTGAGAACTGTAGGAAAAGCAAAAAAGTGAGGCAAACTACAGAAAATCCTTGAATGCATTTATAAATATTGAGATAATATATTTAACCTTTGCATTTTTCTAATATTTTAACTTTCATATGTAGTATCAGAAAAATATTAAATGGAGTTTTAAAGGAAAATGTTATGCTATTGAGAAAAATTAAACTTGTACAAGTTATCTTATTCCCCCACATTTTCTTGAAAATCATTGCATAGGAGTATATGCACTTGCATTCATTAAAGCATGATATTTTCTACACCTCTGTGCATTCATTTGGTGGCTCTGAAAATAATACATAAGATGTAAAATAAAAACCACAGCCTTCCATTGAAGACATTCAGTATTTACTGCAATATGTAAAATGCAGTGTTGTAATTTTATCATTCAGTTTCTCCCATAGACAAGGCAGAGTGGAACAATGTGGAAAAGAAAGAAAAAGAGAGATGGAGAAAAAGATAATTTTTAGTGGTCTGATTGTTTATATGCATTTTAGTGAAACACTGAATAATATATTGACCTTGAAATAAAATGTTATGCACAGTATAGTAGAAGAGTAAGACAAACTTGACTTAAAATCTGTTTATATGGAACATTCTGAAATACTGGAGATTTTACCTTCCTGTAAACATGCACTCTGAATCCACACATATTAACTAAATACAAATTCTGAAACATTGCATTCCTTAGTGTGATGCATTGATAATATTGAAAAATGTCATTTAATACAACAGGTTAAGAGCCTAGACATACTTTAAATGCAACTGGTGATTTGATAGTTCTCCGACCAAACAACCAACATATGGCATAGGGAACACGAAGGCACGCGTAGTCCTTCAAATTAAAGTTTTGCTACGGTACATGAAAAATCCGTGCTGTTTGAGCTGGAAAACCTGTAAATTCTTCTTGGTTTTTTTGCTCATTAAGGATAAAATGTAATGGTTATTCTTGAAATATTATTCCTAATAATCAGTAGAGCACTTTTCAGTGGTGCCGGTCACATGCTTCCGAGTAAGTAAACAGAGTAACCTCCGCACTTCCCAGCTTAAACTCATGACTAGCCCCTGTAAATTCACAAAGTTTATGCTAAAAAGTGCGTCTAAAAATATCACTTCTGCTCCTGGGTGAATTCTGTAGGATAGACTGTTTGCAGGTTACACAATTTAAAAGCTGTAAAGTTAGGTCCATCCTGTCCCAGCTCTGCGACACTGTTCGATACCATACACAATTCTTGAGAATATTAATCATCCCATAATAGAACCTGCCAGGAAAGATACATGGCATTATCACAGCAAATATGTAGGTAGTTCCCTTCATTAGATACTTCTTTGTTTGAATTGTAAATATTTGATGTTATATAGAGAGTTCCCATTTTACAAATAAATAAATTGTTACATTTAGTTTCACATGCTGTGCTCAAAATAATATCTGAAAATAATAAGAAAGTAAGAGCGTGGACTCTGGTTTTAGTCCTGCTACTGTTACATACTGGCTGTGTTATCTACCTAAGTGATGGAAATTCTCCAAACCTATGTTTTTTAATCTATATTAAAAAATCATATATATAATACGTAATTGATATCAGTTAAATATTTTCTTATTAAATGCAAAATACTTGTCTATGAACTCTCACCAACTATATTTATGTTTAGTCACATTATTCTCAACCAGCTAAGGTTTTGTCCCTCAGAACATCTGGCAGCGTTTGAAGACATTTTGTCTCATCACAGGGAGGGCCAAGGTGGGGTGGGCAGCTGGTCCACATGGGTGGAGTCCTGGACCCCGTTCGGTGCCCTGTGGTGCCCAAGACAGTATCGCCAACAGTGCGGGGTTATCCAGCCTGCAATATTCATGTAGGCAAAGCTGAGAAATTTAGTTAAAAAAGGACAAGATTAAATTCAAGTCTCTTTTTTTTTATTTCTAGTTTAGTCTGTAATTACGTATTTGTAGTCATTCTCATTATTGTACTGAAATTGATTTTGTTTCAAAGTGACTTTTGCTGATTATTAAATTTTGCTGATAGATTCTCTTCCGTGTCATATCCATTAGTATTTTATATTGTACTCTGGTGTCTTGTAAATATAATAATTTCTAAAAATATTCACATTCTAACCATAGCAACAACACTTTTTTGGTTTATTCCCAAAAACTCTCATAAGAAATCAATAAGAGAAAAAGAAACAAAAATTATTTTAATATGCAAGTTTAATATTAATTCAGATGGAGACTAGGTGTCCTTTTGTTTTTATTCTCTAATAATTCAAAGACATCTTTGAGCTTCTTCCTTTTTTTTTGATACCGGGGATTGAACTCGGGTCCTTATGCTTGTGAATCAGGCGGCGGAACCACTGAGCCAAATCCCCAGCCCCATCTTTGAGTTTCTTATTCAATTTTATCTAAAATAACTAAGATATCATCGTCTCCAACTCATTGAAATCTAAGAAAATCTGAAATTAAAGAACTTAGTAATAGCCAAAATGTTTCCTTTTTAGCCTATTATGTATGGCAAAGTATAGAAATCTTATATGGCAAACATCTTTGCCATTTAGAATTTTGAATTGTTCTCATTTTTTTCTATATTCAATACATATTATTTTTCAAATCCACATGAATTATTATATTTTCATGTACACAATTTAGGGGACTACCATTCATAAATATGTTATACAATAACACTTAAAAACCATGGCCACTTACTGTGTCTTGAGTTGCATAGCACATTGTGTTAGTGTAGAGATCTAAACATTTGTAGTTTTCTTTGGACTAATACGTGTTTTGTAAAATACACAAAACATATCTCGGAGGACTGTTTGATAGCGTGTAATCTTTAAAGTGTTCAATATGCCAATAGAACCTAGATGTTATGTGAAAGGAAGAGAGGTCCCATACTTCAGGTCCAAAGTGAAAAATAACCAAACAATTATTTTAAGAGTGATCGAGTAATTGATTATTCCCTAGCAACATTTACTGTATATAACAAATGTCTAGAAAGAGGCATTTAATGTGTTTGGTTTTCAACTGCTTAGCTGTAAATTTTTTAGTTATAATTTAAACTTTTAGCAAAAAGAAATCTTACACACTGTAGGTCCACATTTTCAAAACTCTTCAGTGAAATTGTACCCTTTAAGTTCAGTAATTCTTGGTATGATGAGAAAATTTGTTTTTCCACCACTCTGTGCTATTTAAATAGTGATGTTGAACAGGGATGAATATGCACTGTGTCGTACCCTGTTAAAAATATTAATTTGAGTGTACATTGATGTTTTCTCAAGGTACAATTTTAGTCTACCTTTGAAAATTGGACCCTGAATGTCTAAATTGGAACTGTACTCACTCACTAGTTTCTGCAAAAGGTTTGCCAGCGTGAAATATTGAAGTGTGCTACAAATTAAACCAATACATGCATCCAATGTGTGCTTTCTTCATGCAGGGATTTGAGGCGTCTTGGAGTGACTCTTGTCGGTCACCAGAAGAAGATCATGAACAGCCTTCAAGAGATGAAGGTGCAGCTGGTAAACGGGATGGTGCCATTGTAATCTCTTCCACTGTTACATCTTCAAGTGAATGATTCTGCACTTTGTAAACAGCCCTGAGACTTATTTTAACAGAAAGGGAGAAAAAGGGAAAACTGTGATTTCTGAACCTTAGGCAATCATCTGCCTCAGCCGCATAATTTGTAATCAGTGTTTTACTAAAGTCTCTGAATCTTCCTCTTAGTGTTTTCATCTTTTATGAAGCAACTATAACCTGAGTAAATAACAACACGAGGGTAAACATTATCTTACGTTACAGTAATAGCAAAGTCTTTCTCACTACTCCTACAAAATTTTGTATATGACATATATAAATATATAGTACCTTCAAAGACTGAATTTAAGTAAGCCCCATTTGAAACTCCCAGGGATCTATTTGAAAGGATAGATTTTATAGCCATGTGTGGGCTAAGAAAAGCTGCAGTTTATGCAAGTTACTTCAAGTCTTAAATGTCTGCAAAAGTGTATCGAAGAGCAATATGATTAGATTCTTAATACAGATCTTCTTTTGTAATTTAAAAATACTATTACATGGCATTAAGTTATAGAAACTAGTTTATAAACAATGTTGCTTGATCAAGGAAAAGTACAGCACAGGGTGTATATTTATTTTTCTGTGTTATAAAATTTACTTTTAGTTTCTCTTCTAGAGACAAGTAATAAATCTGTATATACTGTATAATTTTTCAATATACCCAGAAACTGACAAGTTGGAGTTGTGTGTGCTTGCACATGTGTGTGTTGTCATTCTGCTTGCCTTTTTAGTAATGTTTTAATTTTAATGACAGAACAGAACAGTGTTCCAGAGTATAATGTGAATGAGATATAAGAAAGCAAAGAAAGAAAATTTAACAAAAGCTGGTATCTCCTTTTCTCTCATGTATCCAAAAGCTACTAAGCTCTTTATTCACTAACAGGAAATGTCTGTAAGATTATATCGGCTTTAGCTTTTTAAAACACTTTGTAATATCTGTGACAATACAGTTCTTCTAGCCATTAATCTTGCAGTCCTGTAAGAAATTTCACCTTTCTGAGTCCCACAGAATATCTTGTCAAGCAGAGTTGACACAAAAGAGCGCTTTTCCAGTGAGATGTAAGAGAATTTAGCCACGCTAGATTCTGTTACCGTTGCTAAATCCAGGCACATAGCTCTAAGAGTCACCTTTACATGTTAATCCTTTGGAACCATTTCCATTCTGGCTCATCTCTAGAAATTTTGATGCTAAGGTAGAAATAGAATGATGAAAAATAGATGAATGCACTGATAGATATTTCTTTTATAATCTGGTAGAAATGGAAAAGTGAAAAATATATGCATAGTTTTGCTTTAGAATCTTGTTTCAAGACTTGACAAGAATGACTTGTTGATGGGTCTTTCATTTTGTGTTCCATTATGTAGCACTGAATTTATTTTTATGGGTCAGTCCAAAGTATGATTTCATTGGACTTATTAAGGAATGGAAGATATATCCTCTGTATGTTCCATATGCTACACTGTGAAAACTGATATTTGTGATAAAAATATTAACAGTTTATTTGTGGTTGTACAAAACTGAGCTCCTTAGGGAGATGAACAAATATTTTGTATCATTACACTTTATAAGATTATGGACTGGAGTGTGATAAGATATCACCTACTCCTGATTTTCAGGGGTAAAGCAGAGAAGCCTGGGCTATGAAACCCATAGAAAATGTCCGTGTGTTATGAATGGCACTCTTTTCCCTAAGCACTGGTTTGTAGATAGGTTAGCATGTGTAAGAGTAAAATTGGGGGAATAATTTATTTCCATTCTGCACACCCTTTATGTAAACAATGAAGTAGCTCTTTGCTAAAGAACAAGAAACCACTACAACAGTGAAAAAGAAAACAACATGCTCTGCACACTTTTCAAACTCTGTTGAGTTCCATTTCTGTAACCTATCACGAGCCGACACAAACAATGCTTCACTTGTACTCAGTTTAGGGAAATTTCCACAGAAAGGTGAAAGAAGTATTTCAATATCATGTGATAAAAATCACAAGTAAATAGGCATCATCACTGTTAAAGATGCATTTGTTCATTTCAGTAAACAGAAAATTATTGAAACTAATTCCTCTTGTATGAAATAACTGGATATTGTGTTGTACTTTATTCAGTTTTTGTAAAAAAAGTTAAAAATGATAAAGTAACAATTGAGAAACTTCAAAATAAGAATAGACAATGATTTAAAATGAAAACCACCACATTTTAGAGCTAATTGACTAGTCACAGGTGCGTAGCTCTAATGAAAGTACTGTTAAAATTGCATTCCATCTTCCCAAAAGAATATAAATGTGGATCCAATTTATTTACCCCCCCCTTGTAATTCTAGTGTTTACTTGGGAAAATATAGTAATTCAAAATGAAAGTTAAATAACTATGAAGCTTTAATCTATGTCTCACTTTGAGCATTGCTACAAGTGTCAATATAATTTTAGAAAAGAAAAAGATTTTCCAATAAGATAGACTTCAACCCCACGTGAAAAAATGCCTTCTAAAATACTTGTTCACCACAAGATGTGTGACCATCTGGAAAGTGCCTATCTAGATGCAGCTGTGAGCAGGGCAGCAAGGGGCAGCTCTCCTGAAATACACTTAGACGGTGTGCAGCCCAGGACAAACATTGTGTTGATAGTTTCACACGATTGTGTGATTCTTATCCTACTGGCTGAGATAGTCATACACCAGACTACCAAAATTCAATCATAGATTTGATAATTTTAGCGCATACTAGAGATATGTCAAATGATTGGTAGCTGTTTTTGTAATTATCAGTTGCAATATTTTTTGGCATGAATCTCAGTGTTGAACCTTGAAAAACAAGTACAAGCAGGGAATTGTTTTCAACTTACTGGTAACTGTTGAAGTCACTCAATTGTTAATTTAATAATTCTTTGTGTCTAATCTTACCATTTGCTTCTGTGCACTATGTCATTTAAACTGTTGCTTTTTAAAAATGTGTTCACTGTATGTAGAAATGTACAGATTTTGCTTTTCCCATTTAAAAAAATTAATGTACATGATCTTTTATTTCTTGTATTTTGTTCACCAAGTCAGTTTTCTAAAGTTCTAGGTTCACTGCATCTTGGGATAGAGGTGTAGCTCAGTCCTAGAGTGCTTGCCTGGAGTGCACATAGGCTTGGATTCAATCCCCAATACCACAAAACTGTATCAATAATTTATCTAGACTTAAACATGGCCAGCATTATCATGTTAACAAGGAAGGATATCCTTAGATCTGTTTGGAAAAGAATTTTAACTAGTGTGCATTGGTGAGGATGCTGTTCCACCTCTCAAGCTCAAAATGAAATTTTAATATCAGTTGAGCACGTATATGTTCGCATATCCGGTATTTAATTTTTGTGTGAAAGTAAAAGGTTTCCACACCATTCTTTCTCCCACTTGAAGTGGGTTTTCAGAGCACAAGCACAGATGATTTCCCTTTGGAAGGGTATTTTCCCTGTAATGGTGCGTTGAATGGCAAACACTCTTTGGGTAAGATATTAAAAATTTAATAGAAGTAGAATATTGTGTGGTAGAATGATATCTTTTCCTCATTTTGTTCTTTCTAAACATAAGAAGAAAGCTAAATGTGATAGTAAATTTTCTTTGTTATGTCCTGCCAGATGTTGAAAGTAAATTAAAAAGTAGGTACAATATGATGGTGATGATGATGATGATGATAATGAATAAATAGAATTAAAGTTCCATCTTTATTTGAAATTTAATACCTAGAATAAGTCATCGTATTTCAACTCTAGCACAGCTGGTTACACTGAATATTTTTCTCCATTATGATCTTAATTATATAGTAATGTATCCAAAAAAGAAATACATCAGAATTTTCCTTTTCATTTCTTGATCATTTATGAAAAACTCTTCTCATGTACAAATGGATGAATGTTCTTTTTCAGATTAGCCACATTATTACTTAGAAGAAAACACCAATTAATTGTTTAAAAAGTTCTGTCTATAATAATCAAAATCTAATTATTTTTTTCTTCTAAAGGTTAATGGGGAAAATTGAAGCTGGCAAAATGTGTTTAAACAGGATGTGGGCTATACTGGTGGAAATTTGAGGGTCAACATATTTGTGAATCGTTAGACTGCTGTCATTTTACAATTAATTATTTATAAGTGTGTAAGTTACCTTTGTAATCATCTGAGAATAAAGTTAGACTCGGTTCTTTGTTCCTATGTCTATCGGACTCTTGGTCTCAGGCAGCTCAGAAGCGGCTGTGTGGTGTCTCTTACTCGTTGATAGGCGTCGTGACCATAGTCCCGGTCTCAGAGCTGAAGAAGGATTAGCATTTCTGTCTTTTCCCATTTAAAGTTCTGTGTGCTTTTGGTTTGTATTCATGTTTTTGTAGTGTAAAATATGAAATTTTCTATTTTTTCAGAAAATAAAAAAACCCTTTGAATACAGTTAAATCCAATTGTCATGCTTGCCCTCCCCCCAAGACTTTAAATTTACAGGCTTTTTATAATGACTTCAGTGAGTTTGATAAAAGTGTTTGAATTTCTACGCTAAATATTTACACAGTGATCAGCATCCGCTTTCCACAGACATTTTCATGAATCTTTGCGTTTAGATAATGTTTACAAATAGAGAGCGACAGAGTAGAGGACCTGAGCATTTCTGAGGAAAAACCCAATTAGGAGTCTATTTATGACCGTGCTGTACAACAGTTCTTAGGACAAAAACTGAAAACGTTATGTACCATCTGTGAAGTCGACTTCTTACTGACCACCAGCAGCCTGGGGCTTCCTGTCACCACGCATCTGTGCCTACCCTGAAAGCACAGGTGGGAGACTGGCACTATCACAGAACAGGTGCTGCAGAATGCACACCCTCCCTCTCTCTCTTTACATCTCGCATCGTATTAGTCTTTTTCAGTGAAAGACATTTGCAGCAACCTACCGTGTTGCAGGAAATGAATCATGCTTGTGATTTTTGGAGTTACACTATTAAAATTCGCATCACTATGCCCATGAAAATAACCCAGAATGCCTTTCCTTATGCATAAAAGTCACTGTAAGAAGATATTATTTGATATTTTACTAGATATTAACTCAGAATCCTTTGTTACAAAGTAAATCATTCTTGTTCCTGTTTTTCTATGGAAGTGAAGATTCTATGATAATGGAGATTTTTCGCTAATCCTGAATTTATTCTTCACCAGGTAGAAGGGATAGGTGGTAAAGAAAATCTAACATTTGATGAAAATGCATAATTGTATTAGAAAATCTTACTTTTGAGGTACATATCATGCCTCAGTTTTACTGATGAGGAAATAATGGCTAAAAGCTATTGAGAAATTGCCCAAGGCCTGACTCTTTTTCGAAGGCAAGATGAAACACATTTATTTGAGAACAAACACATGAATTTTGCAACACATTACTTAGATATCATATTTTGACCATGTTGCTGAGATAAGAGAATCACTTAATGTTAACCTTCTAATTTAACAGACACACGATCAGAGGATCACTGACAATAAACGAATTGTACACTTTCACCACACAAAGTGTGTCTTGGGGTGGGAAATAGCGTCTCACTGATCACAGCTCTGACCTTTCTAGTTTGGGTCAGAGGTCAAACTTTGATGATTAAAACCAATTTTTTTCTGAACTGTCATCCTGCCACACTCTAATTCAGAATATTTATGTAATATAGCTTATAATTTTGCAACTTTGGCAAAACTACTGCATAGTTCTACAATTTCCTGAAAGTTCAGGAAATTCTAATAAATATTTATTATTGAGTTCAGGCCGTATCTGAATTTAGAGAACTTTGAGGTGTACACACAATTACTATCAAGTTGTTACAAAGCCCAAGGTAAACTAAAAATGGATATGTATAAAAATTCACAATAGTCATTTAAATAAGTGAGATTAACATATTAAATGAAATTTTACATTAATATAGTGGGTTAAAAAATAAACTGAATGAAGCTGGCAGAAATCCTGAAATGTAGATATTTTTCATAGCAAGTTATTTGCTCTTAAATTATCTCTATATTTTTAAAAGTAGGCAAAAATATTTTTTTAAATTACAGAGATTATATCCAGTTAGGAAGTTTGTAGGTGATTCTCCGTGTTTGGAAGGAATAAGCATTAAAGAATCTAATGCAGTTCTGTGATACTAGGTTTCTAAAAAAAGAAAAACATTTCTATCATTATGATGATAAAATTCAACACCATATCCCAAGAGAACAATTGCTTTGGGAAATAAATGATAATACTAAAGAAAATGTAATATTTTTACATATGGGACAAGTTAATTTTTGAAATAAAACGCATTCATCATGAGTAAAATATCATTACCTACTAATACAAAGTGATTCTGCCGAGTACATCAAGTTTAGGCCATCTTTATCTCTTTACCCAGGTATCTGACAAGTAGAAATTTGGCTGTTATCCTAAATACGATGATTTCCTGTACTCCCACTTTAATAAAAGTCATTTGACATTTTTACTTGCTTCGTACTTGAATTTGAAAAACAGATAATTGTTATGCCATCACTTGCTCAAAATTGCCTTTTCCTGCCTCACATTTGACTGATGGCTTACCAGGCTACAGAATTCTAAGTTACGTACCTTTCTTCCAGAACTTGGGAGTGCATTGCTTATATTTTTAGGCACCCACCAACCCATGACACTCACTTGTCTTTCTGTATGAGTGATCTTTCCTATATAAAGCTTTTAGAGCTTGTCAGCACCTGTTATTTCCCTGTAGAACTCTTCTCTGCTTTTCTGCTATTTATGTTGGTGAATTTTCAATCTAATGTCAGGGAAATTTTCTTCTATAATTTTATTATTTTCTCCTTCTATCCTCTGTTCTTTGCACTAGCAACTTCTAATATCTAAGCATTTAGAGTTTTATTTAGAGTACATACAGGTCAAGCCTCCATTAATTTGAAAGAGCATGAAATTACATTCTTAATGAGGCCCATGGTTTACTGCAAGAGCAGGCATTGTCTACCTCGTGCTATATTTGCTAAGATATGTAGGGTTATTTCTGGACTTGGCCTATGTATCTTACACACATTGAAAGTTTTTACTTTGTCATCCTTTTTCATCATTTTCCTTTATAAAAGGAGGAAAAAAAGGAAATACCTTGTTAAATTAACAAGGAAATGCTCCAGTATCCAAATGCTTCTTCTTTCAGAAGAACATCTGACAAATAAATGCAAACTAAATATCTATGGGCAACACATGAGTGCCTAACCCAGGAGTGATATGGTGCATGAGTGTGCTTTATTAACCTTAGCACAGTTAGCACTGGGCTCTGCAAAGCAAAACAAAACAACCTCTGATGTTTGCCCAGTTTAGTGTCTGGATAAAGCCAGGGCTATTTATTTATTTTAAATGGTAAGCCACTTCAAGTAATTTTCTTTCTGTTTAGAATTTTGCTTTGAAAAATGTCACAGGATCACAAGAGAAGATGAGACTTCCAAAATAAGAGGATGCACAAGATTTAGAAGGAAGATTCCAGTTGGTCTCTTCCTCCATAATTTCCAGTATACTTCTCTCAGGCTTCAGAACAAATAAAATGAAAAAAATCTGCTTGTAATAAAAATATGACTTCAAGATTACTTATTGCCACTATTTTCAAAGCAATAGACGCCCACAAAACTCCCCAAATAAATATCTTTATCTGTCATTGTGAGATCAACATCAGTGGATTTTGTAGATAATGGGGTGGGAAAAACACATTAACACTCTAAAATTGGTTCCTGGATTATTTCGCAGAAAGATGCATTGTGATAAAAAGCTACAGTGAATGTATACATTGTTTAAAAATATTTATTGCAATAACAGACACACTGCCTTAATCATCTTAAAAATACTACCCTCTCTTTGAACGCATTTATCCCACGTTCTTGCCACTTTCTGAAGCATCTCTGGAGTCCTCTTCCAATAATGTCTTTAACTGTGCTGTTCTTTTGGCTTCGGTGCGCTACACAAGTTCAAAATACTGTATTTACTTCTGTGAGTATTTTGACTTTGGGTAGAACCTGAGGTTCGATGGCAGCAGACCTGGTGAATCAAGTGCACGGGAACAAACTAAAGTGTTTCATGAGCCTGCCATTCCACTGGCTTGTACTAGACAGCAACATTCACCATATATATTTTGTTGTTGTTTTGTTTTGATTTGTTTTGTGAGACAGGGTCTCACTATATAGTTGAGACTGACCTGGAACTCACTGTGTAGCCCAAATTGGTCTCGAACTCACAGCGATCCTCCTGCCTCAGCCTCCCGAGTGCTGGGATTACAGGCGTGCACCACTACGCGCGGTTCACTATATGTTTATTGCCCCTCCTGAGACATGAAGCAGGACTTCTTTAGAAAGTAATAACAATGATGAAATAAGTGCGTTGCGTTGTGTTATAAGTATTTCGAGGGAGATGAATGGAAATGTGACTTTTTCTGTGATAATTTTTAAAAATGTAAACATGTATCATATGCTTGATCACCCCTTGTAAGTCAAGACAGCAATATGAGGAGCCTTTATATCCTAGGGGCAGGTAGCATTGTAATTACCGTGATGTACACGCCTCCCCATGTTAGTACTAGACAGCTCATAACCTATACACCTTATGTGGCCATCTTGCCAAGAATGTTTATGTTCAAACAGAGACAACGTCCACCA